TTAAGTAGTATAGTTGATTAGTCGATATCATAATATTGTAGTATTGTTGAATAGTCGATATCATAATACTGTAGTATAGTTGAATAGTCGATATCATAATATTGTAGTATAGTTGAATAGTCGATATCATGATACTATGGTATAGTTGAATAATCGATATCATAATACTGTAGTATAGTTGAATAGTCGATATCATAATATTGTAGTGTAGTTGAATAGTCGATATCATAATATTGTAGTATAGTTGAATAGTCGATATCATAATATTGTAGTATAGTTGAATAGTCGATATCATAATACTGTAGTATAATTGAATGGTCGATATCATAATACTGTAGTATAGTTGAATAGTTGATATAATATTGCAGTGTAGTTGAATAGTCGATATCATAATATTGTAGTATAGTTGAATAGTCGATGTCATAATACTGTAGTATAGTTGAATAATCGATATCATAATACTGTAGTATAGTTGAATAGTCGATAGCATAATACTGTAGTATAGTTGAATAGTCGTTATCATAATATTGTAGTGTAGTTGAATAGTCGATATCATAATACTGTAGTATAGTTGAATGGTCGATATCATAATACTGTAGTATAGTTGAATGGTCGATATCATAATATTGTAGTATAGTTGAATGGTCGATATCATAATACTGTAGTATAGTTGAATAGTCGTTATCATAATATTGTAGTATAGTTGAATGGTCGATATCATAATATTGTAGTATAGTTAAATGGTCGATATCATGATACTGTAGTATAGTTGAATAGTCGATATCATAACACTGTAGTGTAGTTGAATAGTCGATATCATAATATTGTAGTATAGTTGAATAGTCGATATCATAATACTGTTGTGTAGTTGAATAGTCGATATCATAATATTGTAGTATAGTTGAATAGTCGATATCATAATACTGTAGTATAGTTGAATAGTCGTTACTAGTATCATAATATTGTAGTGTAGTTGAATAGTCGATATCATAATACTGTAGTGTAGTTGAATGGTCGATATCATGATATTGTAGTATAGTTGAATAGTCGATATCATAATACTGTAGTATAGTTGAATAGTCGATATCATAATACTGTAGTGTAGTTGAATAGTCGTTATAATATTTCAAAAAGGGCGCTTTGCCCATTTTGAAACCTAACATAATTTCTACTCGTAATCTGCAAGAAACTAATGTTCATTTTCATGAGTCAAATATGTCATATTTATCATTCCCAACTTTTTTTTATTTACCACTTGTACAAAAAGCTATTTTTTCAAAGCTTACTGAATTTAAATATTGTATCCAGTCTAAAATTTGGAACTTTTAACCCTGACTCAAAATTCGCTAAATCAAGAAATGCCTCAGCCACGCGTGTGGATATTTAGGGATGAGGGGAAGCATGTTCTGTTCCTTTTTGAAGGTGCATAACGGAACTAACTGGGTAAAATAAATTCTGGATGCAAGCTTCCTTCATAAAGGTCGGAAAGCGAAGCCCGCCACCTACGTTATGATTGATGAGTTTCCTTTGTTTCTTTCCATTGTGGGAAGCGGTTGGAGCCATGAGAAATAGAATTGTGACGTCACCCAGATTGTTCCTTTCTAAGCGTGTGTGCGTTTGTGGAATATTATTTTTATACTGACTGGTAGAAATTCGCCCACTATCAACACATGATATTTCTGTACTAATTATATTTATGGAGGCCAGTATAACATCACCCTATACCAGATGGCTACACTGTCATGGCAATTAGTTTGGACGCTATCCGGAACACAACAAAAAAGGATTTGTTCGTTTGCGCCTCTCTGTTCTTGGCGACGTTTCTCCTGGGAACACTTGTCAACGACATCACCCAGTACACAGTTGTACAAAATACGGCTCTGACAACGCGGGATTTCACTCAGTCTATTCTCGTAAGTCATTTTATATGTTATTTTGTTTGGCAGTTTTCGCGCGCAAACTTGAAATACAGTTCCTCTATCGATATAGGGATTGTGCGTGAACTGTACATGTTTGATGGTCGTTGTTCTTCCGTATATTTGTTCTACTCTCGATGGGTTCATGAATGAATGAATGAATGAAGAGGTTCATGGTTGAAGTCTACAATTGCCTTATTTTTACATGTCCGTTGACCGTATAATTGTAAAAACTATCAGTGACAGAGCAAGTACAGCAACTACTAGTACGCATACACCCCCTTGTTGTATAATTTTATCTCTTTGTCGGGAATACTTTTTTCCTAGACTCCCATTTATTAGCTAGACTATCCCCTGTTTTCAGTTGAAACTGTTAGCAGTTAATTGTTTCAAAGCGGTCTTTTGCCACCTTTCATGAGTTTCAGTTGCCCCCAGTCTGAATCATTAAACTACTACCGAGTTCTGGTAGTACGGCATCCCTAGGGCTAGTGTAATTATGCCAAACTCTCATAGATTATAAGAAACAACTTACTAGTAATTATTTTCTGCATATTACATTGCATTTTCATTTAATGTTTACCATATTTTTCTTATTACAGTTTCTACATGCCATATCATTCTATCTATCATTACTTGGCTTTGTATACAATGTACAATCTGGTCAACCATTGAGAACTGCTAGACTGGAGTGGACTGCAGTGGGTTAGTATAAGTATCTCTATTGTGTATTGTATCTCTATGTGCATAAATACTAGCCTTGCCATTCGCTCATTGGCTGCTCACTCAAAGACTGCCATGGATCCTGATAGCAAGATGGTAGATATGCAGCAAATTGATGCACACTATTTTGAATCAAACACAAACTAGTAACTGCCAGACCCTCTATTTATTCGTAAAATTTCAATTACACTTTGAATGTGACACAATTTTCCTAAATTGTTGTATATCAAGAAAAGTTAAATTATTGCTGATGTACTCATGCACATTCTGTATATTCTGTCTTGCACCTCTACCTGTTTTACTATAGCAACTGCATGATCCATGGTGGTTTTTAAGTGGGCAGCCAACAACTGAATGTAAATAACACCAAATAACACTGTAGAACCAGGGCTACATAAAAACAATTTCTGGCTCCTTCACAGCTGGCATTCCCTACACTGTGTCGTAACTGTAGTAAAACAAGACATGAATGTCACAGTCCTCGTTTATTTAATTATAAAATACTCATGTTAAAATAATACATGGAACATCTGCAAACAATCTTGACTCCCAGCTGCTCCACGATGGTGATTTTTGGCATAGGTTTTCTCTGATAACTGCTAATGAAATCTGGCAAAGATAGTTTGTCTACCACTTTGACTTTAGAAAATACGACACAACAGCATTATGAGGTAAAAATCTAGGTCAGGCAACAGTAGACAAACTGGGAAATTAAATTCAAACCTTCTATAGTATCTCTGAATTCCGCAAACATCATTTCTGTGGCCTTATTTCGGTTTCTTCGAAAATAACACTTCTTTATTTGCACAGTGATCACGTGATTAAACAGTACAATTTTTTGGTTGGAATATTTATTTCATATTATTTGAAAAATAAGCTTTCTAAAAATATATAACTTGTTCAAAGAATATGTTACTTCAGAAATGTGCTATGCAATTGCAATAGCCTCTACTACATCCTTAATATGTACTCTATGTGGGTACAACTCATCATAAAGTGATTTCCCTTAATCTGATTACTGTAAAATGGTTTTAAATTCACGGCTTTGACATTTAGACAATGTGTTCTATGCTTAATTTCACATATTCACTGGGTTTTAATTTAGCGCATTTCCCAGTCAGCGGAATGAGCGAAAATAAAACCCAGTGAATGATTAACCCTTTTACAGTACTGAAAACATTCATTGACCCGGATCCAAAATCTCATACACAAATGCAACCAAACTATGTCTCATACATGCTCAAGAAACTGCATTGATAAATCTCAGTAAACCTTGACATACCTTTAATAACAACTAGACTTCTTTGTTAATTGTATATTACCAGGACCTGGATTTGTTTCAGTATCACCACTATAATTCTTATCAAAATGTAGCCCTCAACACCTCTACAGTTGCCACTGAGATTGGTACTGGTACGACCCATCTGTCACTGATTCCGATCAAGGTCATGACATCACTAAAAACCAGAGCATTACAATCTAAGCTAATTATTTATTCTGAGCATGCTCAGTTGTTCTCATGAAAATCATGAAAAAGACCCATTTGGGATTTTCAGATCTGGAAAAAAAAATTATGTGCATAATCGGGCAGAGAGTTGTTCATCAACCTGCCAAGTTTCATCGATATCTGCTGCAGAATTTTTGAGAAAATGTTAGAGACGTCACAGGCGGAAACTGGAAATAAGAATAAATAGTTCACCTTTCAGGCTGCGCCCGAAACAGAGACTAATTAGGACCAAATTCCAAAAAAATCCAGTAGTGTAGTAACCTTTAATACAATGTTAACATTTGAAGCGATGTGATCTTCAGTGGCAAAATGTTGGCTGGTAACTCGTGACAAACATGATATAATATCCATTCTGCTGTATTGCATATTCAAAACAAGTATACTCACTAACTATTGTTACTAGGATGATAAAGTTATCGGGGTGCATCAAGAATTTATTTTACCCAGTTTCTTTGTGCACCTTGAAAAAAGAACAGAATATTCTTCCCCTCATCCCTAAACATCCATTTTCAATACAATATTTTCAGAGATTGAACTTCACGGGAACAGGTTTGGCAATTGCCAAAGGCGTTCACTTTGATGCCTTTCAAACGTGTAACCTGTTGAAATAGCTTGCCATATCACAAGCGTGGTAGTTTAGTTATTGCCATGGTAATTACAATTACGTGTATTATCTTGTTACAAATCTCATGGAGGTCAACCCATAGCCCCTACATACCAAGTATCAAAGCAATTGACCGGGTAGTTTTCAAGAAGTACCATAGTCGAATAGCATTTTTACCAAAAATCTTTGCTAAAAATTGAGAATTGAAGATAACATCATGAAATGGACAGTAACCCACCCAAGGTATCTACATATGGAGTACCAAAGCAATTGAGGTGGACTTTTTCAAGTTGGAAAACAATGTCATTTATACAACAGCAGAGCCAAAAAAAATACACATTTACCTTTGATACAATATGAAATTTGATTCTATATGAAATTTTACCTTAAAAATAGGTACCCCCCTCAACTCCATGGCAGTGTAGTTATGGAAAACCAAAATTAGTGACTAATTTCATTCTCGTACATATTCAAAATCATAAACTGGTGGCTGTATATAATATCTATACATGATGGTAAAAATAATTAAGGTTCACTATAGTTGACTGGTGGAAAATGAAATCATTACTGTATTTGCACATACACCTATATAAACAAGTTTATATTAAATTAACTAGTGTGAGTTTGTGAACTTAAAATCCAATCATTCCCACATGCCACTCTATTGATGCATTTCAGATATAAAATATGATATAAGCACACTATTTCTCACACGTCGAGAATGGTCTGGTTCAAATTTTGATTAATTTCATTAGTTAATTTCAAAACTAACTTCCATATATTCAACAAGGTGCTTTGTTTTGTATTTACAGTTTTCAACATCCTTGTCAGTGCAATTCGCTTTGGAATAGAGTTTGGTTTTCTGCAATACAGAAAAGAAGAATACCGAAGTTTTACAGAAAAATGATAATTTTTAACCCTAAAGAAAGAGATGGCACATTATTTATCAAGCAGAAACCAGGAATGATGACTTAATGGATGATCTTCGATTAGGTGTCAAAAAAACTTTCAAAGCTTTGTAGATTATATTAAGAATTTTTTTTGGGGGGGGGGGGGTTGTAATTGGTCAACTGTGGGGGTAATTCATCTCATAATGAGACTATTACTTGTACTTCAAATAAAATAAGATTAGAATTCAGCTTTTGTTTAGCACTGTATTGCTACATGTTATTGCCCAGTATATTCAGGAATCTGTCAAATGTGACTGAAAATATCTGCTGTGTTTATATACCCATACTGAGTTTTCCATATTGTAATCAAAACATCAACTTTGTTTCAACAACATTACATTACAACTAAATCACACTTGTTATACATTATTTATTAAAAGGTCACAACGTTGACCTTTGCACCATATTTAACAACGCTGTACAAGGTTTCATATGTCCTTTTGCATAAAGCTATGCATTAACAAAAAATATACCATCCACCATATTTACCTCTAATATAAAACATTGCCCTAGTTTATTTGCTGGAATGCTGCCTCTCAAAGCTTAGCAATATGATATACAATATATACATAAAAACAAAATCATTAATTTATTAACTTGATTGAGGGCAGTGTAGCAAACATTGTGGGTTTAGTTTCAAGACTGGTTGAACTACATTTATATTTGAGGTTGTGTAAATGATCGATTCAGTATCCTCCACAATTTAAATGAAAATATTACCAAGAGCTCTTGTACTACAACTACTTTACAAATTTGTGAACAGGGCTACAGACAATGGCTTGTATGAATATTATGTGCTGGAATTCAAATACCTAGCAAGTCATGAAATTTAATCTGATGTAAATCCCTAACCCCAAACTGATCATGCATAACATTGGCTGTAAAAGTTCCATATACTGTCTCAGTATAACAATCTCATTTATAACCATGTCTGTAGACAATAAAAGGTTGCCAAGCAACAAGTGTATACGCTTACTCCCAAGTTCAAATGCCATCTCATCATGGGCTCTTCAAATGCATGGTCATCTTTTCAATGGATTAATTAGAATGGATACTGACACATCTCAGAATATAATAATAAACAAGTTTGGCATGGACTGAAATCTCTGCTGCTTACTAAAATTATGGACTTAAGACAGGAAAACAACTTATTTGAGAGGCAACTTCACAAGATCAACCACCAAACTGTACAGCCCAACATCACATAGTGTTATGTGTAATTTTTCTTGGACATGATGAACAGAAGGACTGATGAGAGACATCCATGGAAGCATCGCAGGCATGAAAAATAGCAATTCAAATGATCAAGGTCCTACGGCTCCAGCAACATCTCTGGCTACTCTGATATTAGGATTTGCCATGGGATCTAAGAAAGGATCATCATTAGCTGCAGATCTGCCAGCTCTGGTCATAATTATAACTAGTGTGAAGAAACCTATTAGTCCAAATACTAATACAATGGCAAACTTCCTGAAGGATGAATTTGCATCTCGTTTCGGCCTTTTCTTTGTTGTAGACCTATGAAAATGAAGAACAGATCTATTAGTCATGTGTAGTGTTATCTCACCTGTTTCAGACAATTGCAAATTACAGTACAAAAATGTAAATCATAAGGCAAATATAAAAATAACAAATCCATATCGACTTGTAATGGTTTTTCTCATCGACTGATCTGAACAGATTGACTAACTTTTTCACTGCTGAAAAATATTAGGCTACACTGAACTCATCAAGTAGCAGTGGTGGGTGTGTTGAACCCACTGAGAAGGTGCGGTACGTTTGATCATGTCACATGACACAGTGTTTCCATTTAACTGGTCAAGTGATATGCAAGTTGCAGTTTATGAATATTACAAGTACCGTAGTTAGTTTATTTCAAAATTACTCTTCATTTTCCTAAATACACTATTGCACTATTTAATAGGTTAGCCATTTGTATCTGCTTTATTTTTGAATAAACAGTAAAGAATTCTAAGCATTGTATTTGTTTATCGTTCTCCTAAACCCAATTTCGCACCAAATACAATTTACTGTACACATATAAACCAATAATTGCATTTATGTATGTGGGATGACTTATTTTGACTATAGACGTACACATGTACGATCCACAATACATGAAAGTTGACATTGCTGATACAAAATGTAAGAAGGTTAAGTTTGATTGTTTTTAAAATAACTTACTTGAACCACCTTGATAACCAATCAATAGCCGTTCTCCTTTTATATTTATCGGCATCATGATCATGTGACATATCTAGTACTTTATCTTCCTTGGTTGCATCGTATATCTTACGAGGTGATGAAACTGTAGCTGAAAGAAGATGGATAATCACTGGATTATTAAAGTTAGTTACTTGTTGTGTTTACTTTAAACTCAACATTGCTAGGAAGTCACTGTATTAAAGTGTAGGGTATGGAGCCCATGTACCAGGTATTATTCTAAGGTAGATTTGGAGGTAAAATTTTCACTTTTGGTGACTCGAACAGGGAATTATTGACCAAGGCACACAGTTCAGATGAATAATTGCTCTCGCGGGTCAACAAAACTGAATGAGAACTGCATAGATGCAAACAGGCAGTTAGCAGTTGATAAAGAGAGAACATTTTTTATGGAGATTTTGAGTACTACAGTAAATACTACTTACGTGTTAACATACTTGTATTATGACTGGAACTCATCATACTACTATCTTTAGGTATCCTGGCATGGGGAGTGGTCTCTTCCATATTTATTGTTGTAACACTACTATAAGTTGTACGAATTGGTCCGTTACTACTACTACTGCCTTGTGAACTTGTTTGACTGATATTTCGTTCATCTAATACTGATGTGTTATTTGATGACAATTCTACACTTGGTGCGGAATCTGTCATATCATGTAAGTCGTGATGATCTTGTTCCACTGATTCTTGAATCTGTGTATTAAAAACCTAAATACTGTAAACTGCTAGAAATTTACAATTTTCGGCATTTTTGAAGACAAAATTTTGCATAAGTCACTGACACTCCATGTTGTAGAACCCCAGGGATATTGGCACTGCTATTTAATTTCACAGACTCATGAAATGAAAGCAGTTTACAGTAGCATGATTCCCACAAGAACTTTCATATTTTCACAAGTACTGAAGGGAAAAAAGAACTGGAAAACAACTCACCAGAGGTAAACCTAAACCAGCTCTTGCCCAGTTCACTTGTGATAAAATCTGTCTTAGCTGCTCTGCTACAGGGGATACTAAGTTGCCAGGTGGGAAGATTCCATTTTGACAGGTAGGACAGGTATACCCAGCTGGGGCTGTATTAGGGGGAAGTTCCTTGGCATACTGATTAATACATAGCCAGTGAAACACATCTACAAAAAAAAACAAAAAAACTGTTATTTTATACTGATCAACTCATTAAAGAGCAGGATATGAAGACATAATTAGTGGTGAATTGAAACTAAAGCTAAACTTGTTTTCTTTAATTATCCTAACACAGGAGAGATTTTTTGAACACTAGGAGTATTACATGCATTTATATCAGATAGAAGAAGAGATTCGCAGAGTTTTATTTAAATCAAGGCTGTTATTTAAATCAAGATCGTTTCCACCAGTCAATTCATGATTTCTGTAAACATGCTCATTCAGAGCGAATAACAGTATTAGTAGTGAAATCGATAGTGAAACAAGCAGCCTCTCGGCTGAGATAGCTCCGCTGTTTGCAATGCACATTTCAATTATAGAACATAAGATATCATTAGAAAATGAACAATATGTATAGTATCAATGCAATGAGACTTGCTGTTTTCAACAAAAATTCAAAAATATCATTTTTCACCATGATTGTGGTTTTTAACAAGAAGAAAATATCACTTTTTACCAAAAATGACAAATATATTCACCAAAATTAGAGAATTAAAGATATCATTACAAAATGAACAAATCAGAGAGAGGTCCACATGTAGTACTTATATATGTAATATCAAAGCAATTGGACTTGCGGTTTTTAACAAGAAGTCAAAAATATCACTTTTTACCAAAAATGACAAAAATATTCACCAAAATTAGAGAATTGATGATATCTACAAAATGAACAAATTTGAGAGTGGTCCACATGTAGTACCTATATATGTAATATCAAAGCAATTGGACTTGCGGTTTTTAACAAGAAGTCGAAAATATCACTTTTTACCAAAAATGACAAAAATATTCACCAAAATTAGAGAACTAAAGATATCATTACAAAATGAACAATCTGAGAGAGATCCACATGCAGTACCTATATATGTAATATCAAAGCAATTGGACTTGCGGATTTTAACAAGAAGTTGAAAATATCACTTTTTACCAAAAATGACAAAAATATTCACCAAAATTAGAGAACTAAAGATATCATTACAAAATGAACAAATCTGAGAGAGATCCACATGTAGTACCTATATATGTAATATCAAAGCAATTGGACTTGCGGTTTTTAACAAGAAGTCGAAAATATCACTTTTTACCAAAAATGACAAAAATATTCACCAAAATTAGAGAATTGAAGATATGATGATCATGAAATGAACAAATCTGAGAGAGGTCTACCCAAGGTACATATACACCAAGTATCAGGCTTGTAGTTTTCAAGAAGAAGTCGAAAAAGTAAAACATTGACACGGACGACGACGGACAATCACTCATATGATAAGCTCCGCTCGACAAAGTCGACAGCGAAGCTAAAAAACAAGCATTAACAAAAAGAATAGAGCAAGATTAGTTATGTCTGATTTTTGTGACATACATGTAGGTTCTTGAAGTTACACAACTACAAGTGATTGGGGAATGCATAAGAGAAAGAGGGGCTTAAAATACTTTGAATACTACAGTAATTATAATTAATGTGTAAAAGTTACATACCATAACATATAAGCCTAACTGTTTCACCATCTGCTAATGGCTGATTGCACAATTTACAGGACGGATCATAGTCACTGTCTTGCAACCAATGCAAATAAGACTGTACTATACACTGTGAAATAAAAAATAATAATAGTTACGTTAACAAACAGCTTTCACCATACTTAACTACATGTATAAACCATATACATGTACCATAATATTTTTAATATGTTAAACTTGAATATGCATACGACGTACACAACACAAAAAACATGCTGTGCCAACCATCCTAGATTAAATCAATCACAGAGCTACTGATCAGTATTTGTGCAATTCTCAGAAATTGAAATTGTATTATATTACATTGTAGTAGATATTTATGTACAAGACATCAAAGTCTGTTTGGTACACAGTGACACACTGGAATAACTCAGTAAAATTCAATTTGAGGTTGCAGAATATCTTCAAAGCTTGGAATGTAATAAATTTTATACCACATGTACATGAAGCATGCTTTTCTGTTAATACACGTGACAATGAGTGGTCTCTTAGACATGTTAATGACAGATCAATCTGATTAAAATCAGGTGTAGGTGCAAGTTTTCATTCTGGCCTTCAGTATTCATTACTCCTAATAGATCATCCAAGGTGTGTTTATTCGGCCATCGCCTTACCACTACACCTTGGCAGACTCTATATCGTCAATGTGTAGGTTTTCCCACTTTGGCAATATCAGAGATATTTTCTTCAACAAACTGTCCAATCAAATTGCTCATTATAGCTGTATCACGGACAAATAGATAATCTACAGTAGAAGATTTTCTTCCTAACCAGAGACTGAGCTGACATTTTACAATCTGTTGAGGGCTGAAAATCAAACTAATTAGATCAATTTTAAGGCTAAGTCTATTTTATTTTCTGTATACATGTACCCTAGGCCACATACAGTGCAGAGAATGATTCTGGCAAGTGGGGATGTAGAAAGTCTGCAAAAAACACATTGATGATTCTCCGTGATTGGCAACCCGACATGATTTTTTTCTGATCAGTTGTCACATGTTAGGCCAACTGTTTGGGAGCATGATTTCAAGGCGCCTACAATCAGATCTATGCATTTTACCAAGGTAAAATATGCAATTTTTTGGTAGAATCCTGCACAGATTAAGCATGACATCTAAGCATGTACAGGCATTTTCTAGTTGAGACTACTGAAAAATTTCAAAATCAACACAAATATTTATCCTACTTTAATAGCAATATTTTTCCAAAATAAACTTTCAGTCATTAGTATTACGAGTTATTGTCATTGCACCATACGAATAATTGTTATTTAGTCTGAAATTCTCATATCGCAGCGATATAAAATGATACAGTCATACAATTTCTTCGTATACTATTCAAGCACAGCTACTGATGACATTTAGCATGCATATCACCACGTTTAGTGTAAAATATTAGTTACTGCTGACCAGACCATGGTCATGTGATAATAATTTATAGCAACAACAGCCTGCGCCTACATCAGATTGATCATGTATGTAACAACTAACAACCAGAGTTTAAGTGCCGTGAAATATATGTAAATCAGTAATTCTGAACTGTTACTAACACAATATTGTGTCATGTGGTATACGACAGATATATCTCCACCAGATGGCGGGTCATTATGACATCAGCTGAACACAGTAATATCAGCACATGGAAATCACCAAAACATGTGAATACATGCATGCACAAGTAACATTTCCCATTGGTTTGTCAAAAATATAACACCAAAATAAACCAAATACCACCAGAAATGGAAAAATATTGAAAGAATATGCACATTCCTATAATATCATAATTTCACTTAAATTATTATTATTATTATCAGAGTTTATTCAACTCAACTTATGAATCTGAATAATTGTAATCTATATTTCAAGAACAAGGAATATAAGCATATTTATGAAATTCTTACTGAACACAATATTAGAATTTGAGGCCAGATATCGCTGGATTTCTGTTACATGTTACCACTCTCTGTAATACTGACTCCAGTCAGAATACCGTACCATTTGATATAGCTTTTCTACATTCATGAAATAAACTATTCCTTAATTGCTTGAATTAGTATTGAGTTGAGTGTCAGTCAATTTATGAAAATTTTATATGGGACACAGTAATAAACAATATCAAGTGAGATTGAGGTTCAAATTAGAGAGGTGAACTGATTGAGCAGGTAATAATGCACACTGCTTCAGCCTTTGGATGGAGAGATTTGCTGATGAGCTAAGTGTTGCCTGATGGATTTACTTCAACAGAGGTTATTTTGGAAGTTCAAAAGTAAAATACAACTTGAGGTGCATGTATCAAAACAGAAACATGTGAATGCATAGCAGTCACACTGGAGTCAGCTAACAGAAGAGAAAGGGGCTAGTTAAAAAATAATACATGCTTGTAAGGGTAATATCACGATTTGTTATCTGCCCCAGTGATTGATCTAGGAATTCATTAAATGGGGCCATTGGGGCCCCTCTTGTATGAGAACAAGGGCCATGAAAAATTACTGGGGGCCCAGAAGTTGGCATAGCAATGGCGTGCTCATAACCCTGAAGTGTTCACTTGGCACAAATCAACCAGTTTACTGGTTGTCAGGATTGTCTGGAGCATAAGTGAAATACAGCAATCTAGTGACAGGTCTGAAGAATTTTCCAGCATTTAAAAGCCTGAATGCATAAAAAATGATATTTTTATTTTTATTGGACAACATTATATTGAACACTCACTTGTTGTCCTATAAACAAGTTTTATAGTACTGAACCACTGTTCACTGTGCCCACTGTGCCCTTTACTAATACCTTCTTCATGACCACTTACATCTACCTACTGGGACAATTAATGGAACATTGACAAACGGAAGCTGCAGAAGCTCCAGTGCTTGCTAGAAAAAACTACATGTAAGCAAGTATTTCAGTTATTTTTTTATTTATCATAAATTGCAACAAAAC